TATAACATTTGGGCTATAGAAATGATGTGACATGTATAAGAATATTGAACATGATGACAACTTGAAGCTCGACATCAATGATAAACTTATCATTTATCATGTACTGCTTAGATCGGAAAGCATAGATTGAGGCCAGTGTGTAAGATGATAGTAAGAACAATGTATTATATCAGCAAATGAGGAAAAATATGCTGAAAGTCCTTATCTGGTAGTTCGAGACAAGTCAGATCATTAAGTGTAATCTGGAGGAGAGCTAAGTGAAAATTCTCATAGTAAACCGTGATACCAAACAAATCTCTTTATTGATATATGACTAGCAGTAAGGATAATCATTTGTTTCTAAGATCAAAGACCCCCAGTGGCACAGTGGTATGTCTACGGATTTACAACGCTAGAAACCGCGTTTCGATACTCGTGTTGGGTATAGAACAAATAGCTCATAGTGTAACTTTGTAATTAACATCAAACAAAGTACGATCAAAGATTCAAAGGAAGTTGACTTTCTTATTTTTCAAGCTATCGAACAATGTTACATTGTGAGATGTCTAGGTTTATTGCAGGAAAATAAATAGTCTTATATTTTTTGTTTCCGATACATTTTTCTGTATAACTCGGTATCTGGGCCTTGTGTAACTAAGACACCAAGAAAGTGTATCTGTTCAATTCATTTCAGTTCTTAAATACATCTAGATGTAGGACTGGCCTATAGTGTGGGCGATGTGTGCTTAGGCACAGGGCGCCCACTTCAAGAGGCTCCAAAATGGACATTGTAATTAGCAGTTCTTTCAATTTTAGAGGAACAGGGGCGCCGAATATAAAGTTCACACAGGCCACAATTCTGCCTAGGCCCGGCTCTGTCTCGACACGACGACCAGAGTTTAATTTTTCACGGAACTGTTTAATTTAGTTATATTATCAGGAAGTAGTGAATGTGTCATCAGTATATCATACATAGAGATCAAGTTTTTCCATCCACTTGCAGCATTCTTGGAACACAGCTGATTCGAAGTTACAGTCTTGACCTGAATGCAGTTCGTATGGCATACCAAATCTGAAGAGGAAATCACTAATAGCCGAAGCTATGGTTGTAGCTTCCTGATTTGGTATTGCATATACCTCGGGCCACTTGGTGAAATAATCCATCACCACACAAATGTACCTGTTTCCAGCGCGAGTTTGAGGCAGAGGACCAGCAATGTCAACGGCTACTCTTTCTATTGGTGTGCTAACTTGATATAACTTCATTGGAGCACGTCCCTTATGCTTGGGCCCTCTTTTAGCACAACATGTACTGCGTGTTCTGCACAATTCTTCCACATCTTGCTTCATACCTATCAAAAAAAAAAACATCTGTTGTAGGTGACTCAACGTCTTCTTAACTCCGAGATGTCCTCCAATTAGACTATCATGGGATTGACGCAGCATAACTTCCCGTAACTTTCTCGGTATAACTGTTTGCCAGGTCGTCACTTTCCCATCTGCAGTTTCTCATCGCCAGAGAAGACTACCATGTTCTAGCTTCAACTGGTCCCATTGTGCCCAATAGTTCTTTGTCACAGGGCTTAGACTAGACGCCTTCTCCCAAGCAGGGCGCAAAACACGTGCTTGTAGAAAATCAATTATTGGCTTCAAATCTTTCTCCTGCTCTGCTTTAATATCTATATCTCGTTCCACTTCACCATCATCAACTCCTTCAGTCACTTTGACTTCAGCTTGATGAAACCTGGTTAGTTCAACCTCTCTTTTAACACTTACTGGAATTTTGTCTTTGTTGTTCCCAAACGTCATTTTATCAAAATTAATTACACACTTCCTTGGTAGTCAGTAGTCCAACCCTAATATGCAATGGTCTTCAATGTCAGCCAAGTATACTTTGTGTCTGTCCTTTATGCCCATGAGCTCAATAGTTACCCATACTGGTCCCCACAACCTTGCAT